GAGCCGGCTGCGGCGGCACCCCAGGATGCGGCTGGACCCGGCGGAGCCAACCGACACCCCCATCTCCTCCTCCTCCTCCTCCCAGTCATCCACCTCGTGCTTGCCCCACCTGCCCCGGAAGCGCTTCCAGATGTACTCCAAATCTCCTTTCTACCGAGCAGGACACGGCGAGGCCCCCGAAAGCCGGGCGAGCCCCGAGGGCCTGGCGGGGCCTCTCCACCATGCCGAGGACCGGCCGCAGTTCACCACGCGCGGGACCTTCAACCCAGAGAAAGGCAAACAGAAACTGAAGAGCGTGAAATCTTCCCCCCCAAAAACCAAAGAGCCCCCGGATGGGGGGCCCGGAGGGGGACGCAAGAGGAACTCTGAGGCCGATTGCGCCGCCGCCCAACCCCTCGTCCTCCTGGGGAGCAACGAGTTCATGGTCTGAGATGCTCCACCCCGGAGCCACATCCACGCCGGGGCATCCTCCCCATTGGCAGTGCTCTGATGGCTTCCTCGTTAACGCCGGGAGATGAATTCTTAATTAAAAAGGCCGGGAGGGGACGGTTTTAATGGTGGCCTTAATGATTTGGGGGAGATGAGACCTTTGGGTGGCCGGGGATGGGAGGCATTGAGCAGCTCCTGGCCCTTCCCCTCGGAGCATCCACCACCAAATCCTTGTGCCGAGTCGCCGTCGCCTGTTGGGAGGAGCAAACCAAGGCTCAGAATCCCACGGGAGCATCCCAAGCTGGCTCCACTGCACCGAGCCCTCCACGCTTCAGCCACCTCATCCACGCCAACGCCAAGTGCATGGGAAAGTGTTAAAACCTGCCAAAAATCACCTTGTCCCTTTGGTTTTTTTATTTTTTAACGAGACCTAACCCTCTTTCTTTTTTTTTTTTCCTTTTTGAGATCATCAGTATTAAAAAATAATAATAATTAATAATAATCGAGGACTACTTGAAGCGATATTTGTTTATATGCTGGTTCCTGGAGTTTTGTGTAAATATATATTTTTTTAATTTTTTTTTAATATTTTTCCCCAGACAGAACTTTTTTTTTCTTTTTTTTTACTATTATTATTATTATTGTTATTATTATTTTTGGGCGGGAGAGGAGGGGAGCAATTGGCTGAGCCATCCTTGGTGTCACCACTGGTGTCACTGGCCATCACTCAATAAAACATGGAGTTTTACTCTCAGCAGGAAATCCCTGGAGGTGTAATTATACCATCATAACCCATCATAGGACTAATTAACTGTGCTAGTTACTGACTCAGCTTATAATCCCTCCCCAGTCTCATCATCCTCAGTGGCACCTGGAGAAGCTCTGAGTACCAGAAAACCTCTGGAAAGGCAAAATCAGGAATCCCAGGGCAATAATTAGATTTACAAAGGCTCGATCTGTCCTCCTAGGTGGGCTGGGCTGGGCCTCATCCTTTCCTGAAATGCCACCAAAAATGGGGAAAATAGCAAAAAATTGAGTTTTCCTGAGTGTTTTGTCTTTTCCCGACATGACTGGATTTGGCTGAGCTGCTCCTCGGTCCCCTCTCCCCCTGCCCTTTCCAGGGATGGTTTATTTATTGGGGTAATTTTTTATTTGTTGTTTGAAATTTGACTTTTTTTTCACGTTATCTTTAATTTTTTTCCAACGGGGGAAGTGACAGATGCTGCAGGGAGAGTGGGAACAGCATCGGCCTCGGCGCTGCATCCTGGGAGCGGAGCAAGACCAAGTCAAGTCACCCCCATCCACGGGGAAAATGGGATTTTGCCTGTCCCAGAGGGGAAAACAGGGCTCTGGGGACAGGCACTGGGAAGGCAGATGGTGACCACAGCAGTGGAAACTCCTGGGGAGCCATCCCAAATTCTCTGGGAGCTGGGATTGCTGGGAGCTTGGTGCCAAACCAGCCTTCTGAGCCTCTTGAAGTAAAAACCCCAGAACTGCCCCTAAAATGGCCCCAGGGGAGGAGATCCTGGGCATGAGTGAGGGGTCCAGCCTCGTCCTCAGGTTTCTCATCCCCGTGGGATGAGGGCAGGGATGTCAGATCTGACTGGGGCAAATATATATATATATACATATATATACTCATAAATACATATATATACACACACACACATATATGTGTGTGTATGCATGTATGTGTATGTATGTGTGTATATATATATGTATATGTATCTAATTTCTTTGGGAATATATTTCTTTTCCTTATATATATTTAATTGCTATATAAGGAAAATATATTTAAGTGGTATTTATATATATAAAGAACATATATAATAATATGTATATTCTATATATAAAGACAATATACACACAAAATAATAAATATTCTCTGTACAATTAAAAATGCATAAACAAATATTGACTAAATACATTTATGTATTTTCTATTTCTTATATATAGTACGTATTTATATATAAATATATAAGATATTCTATATATAAAGAATACATATTTCTTTTTATATATATGCTTATATATTTATATATAAAGAAGTATATAAAGGAAATTAATTATATATTTCCTTATGTATATATTTTACATATTTCTATATATAAGGAAGTATATATATATATATATAAAGGAGAAATGTACTATATATAAAGAATATTTATTACTTTATATATATTTTAATGTATTTCTTTTCTATGTAGAAACATATTTAATGTTATATGATTTAAACATATATTTAATATATGTTTAACATGTATGTTTATATATGTTTCTTCACATATATTTATATATTTCTTTATATGAAGACTGTATTTCTCTGTAAAGAAATATATAAAGGAAATATATAGTATATATAAAGAAATATATTTTCTCTCTATTTCTTCATATATATAAAAATATATGGAATGTAGGGAAAATATATAAAGAAAACAGACTTCTTGACAGAGATAAATGTACGGAATATATATAGAATATATAGAAAATATGTTTCTTTATATATATAATATATTTGTGGGTTTATGTATAAAGAAAAACACATGTAAAAGAAATATATACATATATATATATATATAAAATCCAGCTGTGGCAGGAGCTGAGCAGGACTGGAGGACAAAGGCGTGTCCCAGGGTCCCCTTCCCGGCATCTCCCGCTCCTTCCCAGCCCTTCCCTGGCAGGATTTGGGCTCCCAGAGGCTTTTCCAGAGGGCTGAATGTACTGACTGCTGGAGGGCTGCGAGGGGAATTGTTGTTATTTTTCATGGAAAGTTTTCTAAGTAATTTATAAAGTCGCTGCTTGTAAACTAAACAGAGTCTGTATGGAAGAGGATATATTATCCAGTCTTGTACAAACCGACAAAACGGAGAAATAAAAGTGTCATTCTGCAAAGGCCAGGAATTCCCAGTGGGACGTCGTTCCTGCCACCCCTGCCCAGGGCTCGGGGCTTCTTCCATTTGTTCCATGGGGTTGTGGATTTTCCTGATCCCACTCACGTGGATGGAGGAGCTGGGATGGGGAGCCAGGGCTCCAGATCACTTCCCTGCGGATTGTTTAATGCTGGTTATTCACACTCTCATTATTTATGTGCACAGAGTTTCTGGTTTACTTGTTATTCACGTTCTTTTTATTTATGTATATACAGATTCTTTATATACAAATTATTTTAATTGGAAATTTTTATTTATTTAGACGATTTTCAATTTTTCTGTATTCAGATAATTTCTTGTTTTTTCTATCAGATTTCTATTAGATTATTCAGATTATTTCATATTTCTATTTCTATAGATTAGTTTTAGGTAGACTGTTCATGTTCAGATGATTTATTTTCAATTTATTTCTATTCAGATTATTTCATTTTATTTCTTCCACATAATTTAATTCAGTTAATTTCCAATGAGAGTCATTAAGTTTCTCTTATTTATATGCAGTTTGTATATTCTCAGTTTATTTCTATTATTTCAGACAATTTAGTTTTATTTTCTTTCTATTCAGATTATTTAAGGAGATTTCAAAGCAGATATTTATATTCCAATAATTTACATGCATTTTATTTCTATTAAGATTATTTAATTTCATTTTGTGTTTGTACTATTTAATTCCCTTTTATCCAGTCAGATTATTCTTATTAATCTACTAATCTACCAAGATAGTTTATTTTCAGTTAATTTCTATTCAGAGCATTTCAGTTTATTTAGTTTCATTATATTTCTATTTAAATTATTTCAGATTCTTCCCAATAGAATATTTCCGTACAGATTATTTATATTTATGTTTTTTACATTCAGATAATTTCAAGTTATTTATTTTCATCTTATTTTATTCCTATTTTTCTATTTATCTTCCTTATATTGATTATTTAATTCAGATTATTTATATTAATTTTACTTATATTTAGTTTATTTCCGTTCAGATAATTTCTTTTCAAGGTACTTACATTCAGATTATTGATTTTTATTTATTCCTATTTGGGTTATTAACATTCAGCTGGTCCCCCCAGTCCCCATCCAAGGGGACCCAAGTCATTGGCACAGGGACTCTGGCTGCAAAACTCTCTTTATTCCGAGTACAAAATGGGGGACACGAGTGGGACAAGGGTCTGTCACCGCGTGTCACCCCGGGCTGGGGTCACCCTGCCCAGTGTCAGCCCTGGCCGGGGATCAACCTGAGCTGTCCCAGCCTGGTGTCACCCCCCGGTGTCACCACCTTTGGCTGGTGTCGCCCCTGGGCTGGCACCACCCTTGGCTCTTGTCACCCTGGCTGATGTCACACCCAGTTGGCATCATCCCTGGCTTAGTGTCCCCAAGGTGGCACTAGGTCCCCATGGTGCCAGGGTGCCTCTGCCTGGGTTCCTCCAGCACTTGGGACACCATCGGGAAGGACCCCATGAGGTGCTGCCAGTGCACCTGGGGACATCCCAGGGAAGCTGCTCCCCTCCCCGCTGCCGGCAGCATTCCAGGTCCTGGATACTGCCCCAGAGATGGGAGCACGGGCACCTTCACAGCCCAGGGTGGGGGTGACAGGGTGCCAGCGCAGGGTGACAGACCAGCCAGGTGACAGCAGAAGGGGGTTCAGTTCTTGAACATGTCACACAGCAGCTTCTCCATGGGGGTGTTGCCGATGGTGCGGCGGAAGAAGAGCAGCTCCACACGCTCCGAGGAGATGAAGCGCAGCGCTGGGAGGAGCAGCAGCAGCTTCCCAAACCTGGGGGATGCAGCAGTGGCCATGGGTGGGTGACCCAGCCTGGTGCCACCCGTGAGGACGTGGGGACAGCGGTACCTGACGGGTTGCCCAGGGTAGTGGGAACGGTTGTGCTGGCCCAGCATCACCTGTGACTGGTCCTGCAGGTTCTCCACCTGCTCAGGGTCCTTCAGGCCACGGGTCTCTGCAGGGACAAGGGGGTGACAGGCTGGGGAGGGACATGGGGACGGCCACTGGTGGCTGCTGGGGGTGGCCTCACCTGGTTTGAAGAGCACCACGGCCTTCATGCAGGCAAATTCCGTGGGGTCAACAGCCAAGGCCTTGAAGCGCCCGAGGGTCTCCTGCAGCGCCCGCACGTCCAGGGTGGCTGGCAGCAGCTTCCCAGGGCCCGGCTCGGGCACAGCCAGGAGCGGGCAGCTCTCCAGGGGCATGGACCACTGGATGGCACAGAGCAGGAACAGCTCACTCCATGCTTCCTCCAGCAGGATCACCTGGGGAGAACAGGAGGAACCCCAAAACCTTGTCACACCCAAAGTCTCCAGGAGCTGTAGCCACCACAGCTGGTTGGGCTGACGAGTATCTGCAGGGGAGCCCTAAGAATGTCGTGGGTATGCTCCAACTGGCTGCTACTTCTTTTGGGGTTCCTGTTGCCCCACAGGCAGATCCCCAGTTCCTCATGGAGACTGCCAACCCCACCTGGTCACGGAAGGGCAGGTTGGAGAAGACGGGCAGGTTCTTGGCCCATTTCACCGCCATGAAGAGGAGACGTGCTGAGGTCTCGTAGATGTTTTCGGGGCTGGCTGCCGGGTACGGCGCCACCTGGTACTCGCCGCTTGCCCGCTCGGGCTCACTGCCCGTCACATCCACCGTCTCATCAGCTGCAGGGTTCAAAGAGGACACTGGTCACCTCACCGTGGGGACATCCCCCACCCACCCGCCCCCCTCCCCGCTGGCAGCCACCCACCGTCCTCGGGCTCCAGCTTGGCGCAGGTCTCGGCCGTCATCAGGCTGGCCATGAAGCGATGGTTGGTGGGTGGCGTGGGTGCTCGGGGACCCGGGGTGACAGTGGCACCAGGACCACGAGGAGCCGGACAGGGTGATGGGGGGACCTCACAGGTGGTGGCCACGTGCTCAGGGGGCAGCTCAGCATCCAGCTGGATGCTGTCCAGCTGGACCTGGGCCGTGCTGCGGGGCTGCCGCTCGTTCTGCACGGCTGTGCAGACAAGGTGGCATCAGCCCCGGCCACCCCGCTGTCCCCCGCTGCTGTTTGTCACTGTGTGTCCCACCCCCCCATCTTACCATCCTTGTTCATGCCAGCCTGCAGGCACTTCTTGAGCCGGCAGGCCTGGCACTGGTTGCGGTGAGCCTTGTCCACTGGGCACAGCCCTGTCCCTGCCTGGCACCTATGGAGAGAGGTGGCACGTGGCTGCAGCCCCTGTCCCCGAGGAGGGTCCTCCCCCATAGGTACCATGTCTCTCCCCATGGGTTCCCTCCCTGTCCCCAAGAGGTGTCCTGTCCCCAGTGGGTGCCCTGTCCCAGTGAATGCTCTGCCTTGATGGGTGTTGTGGCCTCATCAGGGGGCTCTGGACACCTTCTCCACAGGTGCCTCTCCCCCTGCATGCCTGTCCCCTGCATAGTTTTAAGTCCCCCTAGGTCTCTGCCCCACCCATTGCCCATGCCCTGGGGTCCCTGGCCTGCTGAGTGTCCATCCCAGGGTACCCTACCCCACTGGGGGCCTGCCCCAAGCTCCCTGTCCTGCTGGGTGTCCATCTGCAAGGTCCCTGTCCCACAGAGTGTCCATCTTGGTTCCTGTCCCTGCTGGGTGCCCCATCCCATGGGGTCCCTGCTCTGCTGGCTGTCCCTACCCTGCTAGGTGCCTCTGCCCCCACTCCTGCCCCACTGTGTCCATCCCCTGCATCCCTGACACCCTGGGTGACCGTTCCTGGAGTCCCTGCCCTGTGGGGTGTCCTTTCCTCCGTGGTGTCTGTCCATGGAACCCTGGTTCTTGCTCCCCTGGACGCCCATCTGGAGGGTCCCTGCCCCTCTGTCCCCCCACTCCCTGCCCCACGGGCACTCCCTGTCCCCACCTGTAGATGAGCTTCCTGCGGACGCTGCGCTTGAAGAAGCCGCTGCAGCCATTGCAGGCGTAGATGCCGTAGTGCTTCCCACTGCTGGTGTCCCCGCACACCTTGCACAGCAGCACCGGGCTCAGCTCCTTCCCAGGGGCTGGGCTCAGCCCTGTGGGAGTGGAACTGTCACATCTGGGTTGACTCTGGGCATCCCAATGTCCCTCGTCCCACCCACCTCCCAGCAGCCTGGAGATGGGGTGGCTCCTGCCTCTGCTGGCTCAGCCCAGGGACATGAATGGGGACACCTCAGGGACTCCACGCGGGGTTCACCATCTCCCCACACCCCAGCACACAGAGTGATGCAGGATGGGCTCTCACACACAGGAATTTTGAAAATTAAAAAAGGGATGAAGTGGTGTTCTCAGGGATGGGGACACCAGGCATCCCAGGAAGGGGACTAAGCATCCCAGAGAAGGGCTGCAATCAGGGATGGGAGGAATCCCGGAGAAGGGACAGCTCTGGGGACATGGGACACCCCAGACAAGAGTCACAGCAGGGAGCTGTGGGGATCCTGGTGAAGGGCCAGGGACCGAGGGTATCCAGGAGAGGGTTTTTATAGGGGACCCCAGGAATCCTGGAGAAGGGGCATAGCTGGGGACCTCAGGGACCCTGGAGAAGGAACATAAATGAGGACCATGGAGAGGGTCGGGCACTGCAGGAATCCTGGCCTAGGGAAGGACCATGATGGGGACTCAGCATCTTGGAGAGGGATGGCAGCTGAAGACCCCAGGCATCCTAACAGACCATGATGGGACCCTGGGCACCGAGGATAAGGACCATGAGGAGAAGCCCATCCATTCTGGAAAAGGTTGGCAATGGAGAACCCAAACATCCCAAGCAACTATGATGAGTACACCAGATGTCTTGGAGATGAACCATAATAGGGACCCCCAGACATGGCAGAGAAGGACCACGACGGGGACCAAAGGCATCCAGAAGAAGGCCATGATGATCCCAGGCATCTCAGAGAAAAACTGCAGTGTAGGACCCCAAGTATCTTGGTGATTGACCACTATGGGGATTCCAAGTATCCCAGAGGAGAACCACGAAGAGGCCCCCAGGCATCCTGGGGAGTGACCACAGAGAGGGGCCCGGCCATCCCCGAGAAAAACCCGTGTCCCTCCGAGTCTCACCCGCTCCAGCAGAACACCTCTTACCCGTGGGACTCTCATCCAGCCCGGCGCTCACCACCGACCCCGCCGGGGATGCAGCCATCCCGGCCTGTCCCGGCCTGCCGTCCCTGCGGGTGCCGCGGAGGCTCTGGCAGGCTGTGGGTGCTCCTGCAGCTCTGCGGCCAGAGGGGCTCTTGCCTTGCTCTCTTCAAGGCGGCTTAGCGGCGGGCGCTGTGTAAGCAGCCGCCTCTTTGTCACCCTCTTAATCTTTAGTGTCTGCGCGGGGCGGGGGGGATCAATCAGCCACGCGATGAAGAATTAAAAAGGTGCTGAGCCCCAGCCCTGTAACCCTAAACCCCGCGACACCCAAGCCACCCCCCCGCGCCGCCGCGGCCACCGTGGAGGTGTCACCCCGCCAGCCCAGCCCGGCTCGGCTCGGCTCGGCCGAGATTGCGGCCGAGGTGGGAGATGGGGCTGGGGCTGGGGACCCCCGTGTGCGCCCTCCTCCCCTGGGGACCCACCGGGTCCTGTAAGCGCATAAGCCCTTCACTAAGGCGGTTAGAGGGGAATAACGAAAAGTGGTAATTAAGGGGGGTAATTTCCCTGCCCCCAAGTAATTAATTACCGGCCCTGATGGCGAGGGGAGGGGGGATTCTCAACAGGGGCCCCGCTGTGCCTCAGCATCCCCTCCCTGGGACGGGGCCCTCCGGGAGGCTGGGGCTGCTGACACGGCAGAGGGTGGGGGCCAGGTGGCCCCGGGGTTATGCAACCACCGCTAAACCCTCGCGGTGACAGGGCAGCACAATTTGGGATTTGTGGGCTTTAGCCGCTAAACCCCCCCCACCTTCTCAAGGGGGTGGCGGGTGGCTACTGTCACGGGCCCGGCTTGTCCCCAGCCATGGGCCAGGCTGAGGACAGGGGGTCCCGGCCTGCTGTGCCCCTCCCAGAGGGGCTCAGGGGTGCTGATGCCCTGCAGGTGGCCCAGGGGACAGGCCGTGGCAGCAGGTCCCTGCTGAGGGCTGGCAGCAGTGACTCCAGCGGATCCAGGGGCTGGGGTCACCCCTGCGGCATTCCCGACTGATGTGGCTCCATCCCCGGCATTCCCGACTGATGTGGCTCCATCCCCGCTGCCTGCAGCATTCCTGCATCCCCCTGCCTGCAGCGTGGCTCCATCCTCCTGCCTACCACCTACTTCCACCCCTTTTGCCTGAAGGTTTCTCCATCTTAACAGTCTGCACCGTGACTCGCTCTACCAGCCTTGCCTGCACCACGGCTTCATGTCCCCACGTGCAGCAACATTCCATCACCCTTCCTGACTATGTGGCTCCACCATCCTTCCTGTGTGCACCATGACTCCATCCTGCCTGCACCATGATCCCATCCTTGTCTGCACCACTGCTCCATGTTCCCATGTGCAGCAACATTCCATCACCCTTCCTGACTACGTGGCTCCAGCATCCTTTCTGCCTGCACCAAGGCTCCATCCCTGCCTGCACCACAGCTCCACGCCCTTCCAGCCCCCAGGTCCCACCCTGGGACCCCTCATCTCCCCATGGTGCCCTGTCCCACCCACAGCCCCATCCTGACCCAGATCTCTGACCGCCACCATCTGCGGCGGGGCCACCTCCTCCTCCCGCGGCAGAATTATGACGCTGGGCTAATGCAGCAGGAGCAAGCTGTCACCTCCCTGCTGGCCCCTGGGTGCCTCTACACCTCTCACCCAAGGGTGGAACACTCCCCAGTGCCCACCCCAGGGGTGCCAGGGGCACGGGCACCCCGGCGTGCCAGCCCACCCGTGGGCAGACCCGCGGCCGTGCCGGGGGCAGCGGGAGCGGCCAGCACGGGGCACGGCTGAGTTCGGCTAATTTGTCGTCCCCTCCTTGCCGCTGGGTAAAAGCCAGCTCTGGAGCAGGGATTTGGGAGGGGGATTAGCTGGGCCAACCATCTGCTGCCAGCCAATCATCAGCACCCCCAGGAAAGCCAATAATTACAAAAATATGGTTTCCCACCCCGTTTCTCCATTGCACCCAGCTGGGTGCTGTCCCTATGGGGGGCTCCCCGTGGAGCAGCACCCTGTCCTCTTCCCGGGGGTGAGGGCTCCACGAGCACCCAGCTGGGCACCCCTGGGAGCCCAGCCCAGCCTGTTTTGGGTGCCACACGAGCAGGCCTGGCGCCGAGGGGCTGGGGGTGGTGGGTGGGGGTGAAGGAGCAAATGTTAAAGCCCGAGGCAGGGTCGTGACTCGGCTCGGTCACAGATGCTGGGGCAGATGCCACGGGATTACCCAGCCTAAAACCTTGGGATCTGCCCCCCTTCCCCCCAGCAGGCAGAGAGCATTTAATTACTAATTTACTAATTACCTAAAGATGCTGGCGATGGGCTTGAGACCTGTGGTCAGGAGCAGCCCCAGGGCTCCAGCCACCCTAATCCCACTGGCTGTGGGGAGCTGCTGGATGCACCCTGGCCAGGGACAGCTTGGCTGGGGACATTGAGTGACCCAGGGAAGCACCACTGTCCTGGCAGTCCCACTCCTGTTGGTGATGACATGGAGTGGTGGGAATGGGACAGGACAGTGGGGACACGGAGGAGACAATGGGGACAAAAAGAACATGATGGGAACCAGGAGGAGATATTGGGGATCAAGGGGTGAGAGTGGGGACCAAGAGGGGATGATGGAGACCAAGAGGAGCTGATGGGAGAGGGAGGGGAGATGATGGGGACCAAGAGGTGACAACAAGGATCAGGAGGGGGTGATGGGAACAAGAAGGAGGTGATGAGGACTGGGAGGCAATAATGAGGATCATGAGGGGACAATGACAACCTGGATGTTTAGATGGTGACCCCGAGACAATGACAAATGGGAAGAGCAGGAGGTGATAGCAGTGACCTGGAAGGGATGATGGAGACAAGGACATGGAAATAGGGGCCATGTGAGGATGATGGGGACCAGGAAGGTGTGATGGAGATCATGAGAGGGCAGTGGGATGCAATAGGGTGAATGGAGATCATGAGGGGATAGTGAGGACTGAGATGGGATGATGGGAACTGGGAGGGGAGGATGGGAATGAGAAGGGTGTGATGGGTGCATGTGGGCAAGACAACAGTGACCAGGAGAGGATGGTGGAGATCAGAAGGGGACAAGACCAACAAGAAGATGACATGAAGTTCCAGGAGGGTGGCTGTGGGACTGGAGGTGGCTGGGAAGGGTTAATGTGGCCGCCTGCACTGAGCTGGGTCCAGGCCAGGCTCGGGTTTCACCTGTAATTAGCTCTTGTTTATTGGAGGCTTCTTGATAAATGATTCTTTGGAGGTTGCCCGATGACAGAGGGTGACAGTCACCCACCTGAGCCCTGCTAAAGCCTTCACTGACCCCTGGCACCAGGATTAAAGTTTAATGTGACTCTGGAGCTGACCCCGGGCATGCACCTTTCTGGGGCAACGGGGCTGGGGACAGGCTGGTGGCCATCCCTGGGACGTGGGGCTGGGTACAGGCTGGTGGCCTCGCAGGGCCAGAGGGTTTTGGCACCAAGAGGGGATTTGCCATAAGCCTGGTGGTCAGTGCCTACCAAAGCATTGTGGCCACGGGGCTGTTTCCTGACTCCTTTGAGGTCACCCAAGGGGTTTTTGGATGAAATGTCACACCAGGTTGGGTTTGCCCCCCTGGGACCGGCCCTACAGGGTGGGCACAGTGCCACGGTGCAGCCGGTCCGGGCACATTCCCGGGCAGCGGTGGAGCCGTGTGCCGCTGCCAAGAGCCACCGCGGCGCTCGGGGCGGGCTGAGCTCCTGCCCCTGCCACCCTTGGAGCAGCGGCAGCCTGGGAAGGACAGTGCAGCGAGGGGACCCTGCAGGTGACCCCAAGGTGAGGCAGCAGGGCACAGAACGAGCCCTGGGGCTGCAGCTTGGGTTTCAGCAGGGTGACGTGCCACCACAACTGCGGGGACAGACAAGTCCCCCAGGGTACCTGCCCCAGCTCTTGGACATTGTGTTTTCTCCTTGCAGATGAATCTCCTCGCCCAGGTAAAGGGGGAGCTGGCAGGAAGGACACCTGCATCCAGGTGATCCCACCCCTCTGCCATAGCACCCAGTGCCCTGGACCCCTCAGCTGGGACCTGCCAGGTGCTGGGTCTGGGCAGGGGGAGGGAGGTGAGGCCTGGGAGGCTGGGCTGGCTGTGCTGGCAGAGATGGGAGGTGGCAGGGACGGGTGTCAGAAGGGGACGGGTCCCTGTCTTGCCCTGCACCCTCTCCCTGCAGGTGAGCTCCCTCCTTCGGACCCTGCAAGCCCCGGACTGGCTGTTCCTGCAGCCCTGGCACTGGCTGGGCTCCTGGGTACGGCAGGTTTGGGGGTGCTGGCATGAGAATCCCGGCTAGGTGCTTGGGCAGGGGGTGGCAGCAGCCCAGGCCAGGGCTGAGCTGTGACACGGGTGACACTGGGGCTGATGCAAGGTGTCTGTCCCTCCAGGTGAGCAGCTCCAGGCAGGTAAGTGCTGGCATTGCCACTGTGCCCTGCACTGCCCATCTCACCCCTGGCACAATTGGGTCGAATCCTACACACCCTGCCTTTCCTGGGCACCCATGGGTGCTTCAGCACCTACAGGAGGCAGCCCCTTCCCAAAGGGTTTCCATCCGTGGAGACCTGAGACCCAAGCTGTGCTTAAGGCACCAAGGATGTGGGATAAGCCAGCAGATCAGTGGTGCTGCTGGTGTCCCCAGGACACTGGTGGCCCTGAAACACAGCTGGCTCCCCAGGCAGTGACTGGGGCAGTGACCACGGCAGGGTTCTTCCTCTGCGAGGGGCTGCTGGGACAACACTTCAACGTGGTCCCCAACGGGGTGGCTGAGCCCCAGCCCGGGGACCTCTTCCTCTTCCCGCTGGCCTCCGGGAGCCCTGGCTGGTGGGGTGCCCACGCTGGCATCTACTGCGGTGACGGGGAGATCATCCACCTGGAAGGTGAGCCCCAGGAGCTGCCGGGGCACGGGGACATCTCCCTGGAAGGGACATGGGGTCTAGAGTCGCTTTGCCCTGCAGGCAGCTCAGGCACGTCACCCTCAGGCATCGTGGCCAAGCACGGCAAGAGCCACCTCCTGCGGGCACGGGGCCCAGCCAGGGTGCTGCGGAGGAAGGCAGGGCTGGACGTGGCCGCCCTGCAGCGGCGCGTGCGCGCGGCCATGGACCAGCCACTGGAGTACGACACCCTCACCTGCAACTGCATCCACTTCGCCCTCGCCCTGCTGGGGCTGGGCCACCTCGCTGGCGCCATGGTGGGAGCCACCTCCAGATCAGGTGTCACCACCCTGGGATACTTTGGTGTCTGCTCCAGCCAAGCGTCACCAAACCTCTTCTGTTTTCCCAGGTGTCCCCAGCGCTGCAGTGATGGAGGTGACAGTGCTCCTGGGGAACATGTGGGGCTGGAGCATCCTCCCCTGGGCACCAGAACTGCACCAGTGACTTATCAATCCTCCTGTGTGCCAATAAACAATTGCATGGAAACCCTGTGCCAACCCTGTTTGATTTGTTGTTTTCTCACTTTTCTCAGAAGCTGATGTCAAGTGATGTCCCACCTTGACACACCTCGAAGGGAGAGGCTGCTCTTTGCTCCCCATGGCCTCCTGAGACAAACATCTGCCTCTTTCACTGCTGGCATTTAATTCTGAGCATAAAAATGAATATTCTGCAGGTTGCTGGGTCGAAAATGGGTCAAAAGGCTAGATCAGGTCTGGCCAGAGGCTGGTGGTGTACCCCAGGGCTCAGCTCTGTGTCCAGTCCTGGTCAACATCCTCATCACTGGTCCAGGTGATGAGGTAGAGTGTATCTGCAGTGAGGGGGAGCGGGTCACCAGCCCATGGTGATCCTGGCACCCCCTGGCACCCCTGTGCTGGGCTCTCCAGCATGAGAGAGACAGGGACACACTGGAGAGACACCACAAAGGGCCACCAGGGCTCTGGAGCATTTCCCTAGGAAGGGAAGCTGAAAGAGCTGGGGCAGCTCAGCAGGGAGAAGGGAATGTCCAGTGGGATTTTATCAGTGTTTATGTGGGGCAAAGAAGTGGGAGTCTGGCTCTTCTTTGTGTCTCCTGAGGGTTGGGGTCTCCAGGAGAGCAGCAGGGTCTCCAGGAAGGTCTGAGATCCAAGCAGGGTTGGGGTCCCAGGGAGGGCTGGAGTGAGTGTGTCTCTGTGCTGAAGATTAGTTGCTGTCCATTAATTAGATGCTTTAGTCAATTCTGCTACTTGAACCATGGCCATTTTCCCTCACTGCCCCATTCCTGTGGATGGGGTGAGTGCTGCCCCATCCACACAGCTCCAGGGCTGGTCAGCTGCCTGGAGAAACAATAGCAGGAATATCTGCCCATATTATTCCTATTATGTTATTGATAATAATATTAAATATAAACTACAATATCTATTACAATATCTATAAGAATAATATAAATTAATACCATACCTAATATATATAATAATTCAGATATCATACATCAGATATACTATCATGTGGAATATAGATCATAAAATATTGAATTTCATCATACAGTAGATAATACATAATACAATATGTAATATGTGCTATATTAAATACTATATACTATATAATAGAATTCATGTAATCTGCAATATAATATAACAGCATAACATATAGCATATATAACATATTGCATACATTATATTATAAACTGTAGAATGTAGAATGGTTTATGGATTATCTATAACATAGCATGATTGATTATGGCAAACATAATATTGTGTAATTAATGAAATCTGTAATATATTATAATGTAATGTAATAAATAACATGCAATATGCAGCATGTAATAGAATATATAAAGGATGTGTAATGTATAAGTAAATGTATATTATGTATACCGCACACAGTATTACATATTAAATAATAATAACATGTAATACAGCAGGATATAATAATATATATTGTAACCTCTGAACATATAACATTCTTTGCTATAATGCAATCTATTTTAAACACGTCTAACTATAATCATGCACAATCATGGCTATTACAATAATTATAGATTTTGGTGATTCTGGACGGGTACTTGTGAGCTCAGTGTCACTGTCACTGTACCACAGCTGTGTCCCCAGCGCTGCTGTCCCGAAGTCAGCCGTGTCCCGCTCCCAAACCCGCGCGGGCGGGGGCCGCAGGGCCGGGGCAGCCAGGCTCCCCGCGGTGCCGCGGGCTCGGTGCGCGGCGCTGCCCCGGGGGCCGGGCCGTCCCCGCCCGCGCTGACATCAGCTCCCGCGTCCCCCCGCACCGCACCGCACCGCTCCGCCGCCATGGCCGCCAGCCCGGCCTACGGCGAGGAGAAGGGCGGCTCCTCCAGCCTGGGCGAGCCCGAGTACGGCCACGACCCCGCCAGCGGCGGCATCTTCTCCTCCGACTACAAGAGGTGGGGACAATGCGGGCGCGGGGACAGGGACGAGCCTGCCCGGGCGGCCGCCGCTGCAGGCCTTCGCCGCTGTCCCCGGGGTACCGAGCCGGGCTGGAGCGGCCCCCGACGTGGGGACGGGGATGGGGGTGAGGATGGTGATGTGGATAGGGATAAGGATGAGGATGGGGACAGGGATGGGGCAGGGAACGCAGTCACGTCGCCGCCGCCGTCATTGCAGGTTGCAAAGGCCGGAGAGGGTGGGAGCACCGCGGGATGTTGGAGATGGTTGCTGGGGGAGATGTGCGGGGATCCCCCTTGAACCGCCCACCCTCGGGCTGGGGCATCCCGGGCACGGTGCTCCCACCACGGCATCCGCTGGCTCCTGTGGCTCTCCTGAGCTGAGACCCCCCCACCGCTTAGGGGTTCCCAGGGTCGGGGGGATGCTGAGGAATGTCACCCTGCCGTGGGACAGGCTCCTGAGAGGGGGCAGGGGTGAAGAGGAATAGAGGGGGTGTGCTCCTGGAGCTGCGGGAATGTCTCTTGGCCTTCCCTGCTGTGTCAGTGTCCCCCACGCTGGCACTGTCCCCCGCTCCCTGCTGCCCCAGCAGGAAAGCACTGGATCACAGTCTGACAGCAGCACGCTCTCTACCCCCGGCTGTGTCCCCCAGTGCAGCAGTGTCTCCCCATCCCTGCCCCTCTGGTGGTGTCCTGCCATTTGACAGTGTCCCTCCAGACCTGATTCCCTGGCAGTGTCCCCCACTTTGAATGTGTACCCCATCCTGACCTCTTGGTAATGTCCCCAGTTTGGGAGTGTCCCCTCTCTCCATGTACTCCTCCCTAATGCTGCAGTGTCCCCCATTCTGGATGTGCCCCTGATCTGTGACTTGCTGGCAGTGTCCCCTTCCCTCTGATGCCTTGGCAATGTTCCCCAGTATGACAGTGTCCACCCAGTCCTGAGTCCCTGGCATTGTCCCCCACTCTGGATGTGCCCTGCATCCATGACCTGCTAGCAGTATCCCCATCTAATAGTGTCCCCCCCTTTCTGACCCCTTAGTGGTGTCCCTTGCAGTGTAACACTCCCTACCCCTGGATGTGTCCCTCAGTATGACAATTTCCCCCAGCCCTGATCAACTGGCAGTGTTCCCCAGTCTGGCAATGCCCTCTATCCATGACCCACTGGCATTGTCCCTATCTCAGAGTGTTTGTCCCTCCCATGAGTCCCTGGCAGTGTCCTGCAGTTTGTCCAAGTCTCCTCCTCTCTGACCCCTCCTTGGCAATGTCTCCCAGCCTGGAAATACTCCCCTGCTCCCGTGTCCCCTGACCCTCACTGGCATTGTCCCCCACTCTGGGAGCATCCCCCAACCCTGACACCCTGGTTGTGTCTCCCAGTCTGTCCAGGGTACCTCATGATCTATCATCAGTGCCTCACACTCTGGCAGTGTCACGGCTCTCACAGCAGTGTCCCCTTACCCCTGATCTCCTGGCAGTGTCCCCCACACCCACAGTGTCCCCCACACCCATAGTGTCACTATCATCTGCATGCTGCTCTTTGCCAGAGCCACACCAGGACTGTCACCATTCCTGTGAACCATCCATGGCATCCATGGCACATGGGGCAAGACAAATGCACCAAGTGTGACCCCATCTCCCAGGCTGGACACCCAAAGGTGCCCTGTCGTGCCACCCTACCACCCAGGCAGAGTGTCCCACCATGATGTGTGTTCCTGCCCAGGACTGAGCCACTCAGCACTGAGGAAGGAGCACCCTGCAGTGTCCCCAGGTTCCACCTGCAGGTCAGATGTCACTTTGGACGTGACATCCCAAGCTGGCCTCATCCACTGGGAGCTGTGTCCTGATCTAGGCTGCAACCCAACCCCAGCCACGGCATCAGGTTTCAGCCCGCTCTGCTGGGCAGAGGAGCGGGGCCACAGCCCTGTCACCATCCCCAGGGCCACTACCGCCTGTCAAAGCCATGATGTCCTTGCCGCCAGTGCAGAAGCTGCTGCAGCAGCTGCCGGTGGGGCCGGCTGGCTGGCCGAAAACACCAGAGGGTGCTGGTGTGGCCGAGGAGGTGACAAGCCCGGTGCTGGCCACCGAGGCTGGACAACCCAGCTGCTACAGCGCCCTGCGAGCCGATGAGCTGCGGCCACTCGCCGGCACCAAGCCCGCAGCAGACGCTGTCACCGGGCCACCGCCGCGGTAAGACTCCCCCAGGGAGCGCCCCCAGGACCCTCCGGTGATGGTGGCTCTGCACGAGCATCATCCCATGGCTGTCACCCTCAGTTGCTGCAGGCAGATGCAGCCTTGCCCCCAGTTTAGGGAGGGACCAGTGTCCCTTAGAAAAGAGGACAGTGGTGACAACTTTACAAAAGGCTGGTGGTATTTTTCCCAGTCCAGGAAAGGGACCAGGGAAGGGCTTTGCATCGGTATGTGCTGGCACATCCATGCCACTATGTCCATGAGGGGACAAGGGACACCCAGCCAAGCCAGGATGGAGCTGGTGGTGGGCACCTGTGGTTTAGGGACAATGTAGGGTGAAAACCACAGCCAGGATGGGACAGAGTTCTTGTCCCAGTGCCTGGGATGAGGATGGCACTGGGTGCTAGCACCATGCCAGTCCCTCCGGTTCCTCTTTCACCTGGCTGTAACCCAACTCCTGTCCCCATAAATATTTCATGATGAAAGGTTGGATTGCCAGCCTGACGGAAGGCTGGGAACAGAAAAAAAAAGACTAAAAACAGGTAAAAATGTGAAAATGGGATTTTTTTTTTTCCCCCTGGTGTGGTTCAGGCATGATGACCTCAAGGAGATGCTCGACAGCAACAAGGATTCACTCAAGCTGGAGGCCATGAAGAGGATTGTGGCGGTGAGTGTTGTTGTCACTGGTGGGGACCACTGCTGGTGCCGAGCTGTCTCATGCTGTACCAGCCCCTGCTGTGCCAGCTGCCCAGTGTCACACCACTTCTTTTCCCCCTAGATGATTGCCCGTGGTAAAAACGCCTCCGACCTCTTCCCAGCTGTGGTGAAAAACGTTGCCTGCAAGAACATTGAGGTGAGGAAGATCTTGGGTGGCCCTGGCGGCATCCCAAGGTCTGACATTTCCCTGTTTTTGGGGATTGGCTGGAATTTGCGGGCTCT